CATATTAAAATCACACGTCACATGTCCAATAACACGACATAGATTACTGTTACAATACAGCTTCGTTACGACCAAAAGGTGAAAAAAAGTAGAACACCCAACTTGTTACAGATTCGGCGTATTCAAAATGTGGCAGTCTGTAAGATAAAACCACCTGATAAAACTGTTGTTACGTGTTACAGATACTGTAAAAGCGATGTTAAAATATGACACTGTCAAAATTATACTCACAATATTAATTGCTGTCTGTAACAGAATCAACTAACGTATAGTCACAATATATCCGTACGCAAATTAAGCTCACGTTAACCTGCTGTTTAAGTATAACTATAGCGTGGGGAAAACGTAACGGTATGCTCGTCAAACCAACGATTTTGACTGCTGTTACAAATCCAGCTAAAATGTAATCAATACAATTTAAACTCTGTTGTTCTACATGCAGAAGCATTTACACTAGTAAAGAGTCCTGTACTTTTTTGTTATTGCAGCTGGTCGTAAAGTGTTTAAGGACTTTTTAAAATGTGAATACAGTGAAGAAAATATACTCTTTTGGCTGGCCTGTGAAGATCTGAAAAGGGAGTCCAATCCTGAAGTAGTAGAAGAGAAAGCAAGATTGATATATGAAGATTTTATATCTATTCTTTCTCCAAAAGAGGTAAATCAACCATTCCACAATTATAAGATAATTTAATCAAATATATTTTAAGTATCCAAAGTCCTGTCACTACTCAATCCAGAAAATATATCATTGTTTTTTATTTCAAAATCTTGATATTACTTACGAAAAGATAAAATTTTCCCTTTGAAAATTGACTTCATGTAGTTTCTAAATATCTTAGAAAATTTTCCAAAGGAAGAAAAGTAAATTAATGAATGTAAAGTAGACTTTAACTGGGAAAGAACGCTAAATCACATCAAGATATAAAATTTAATTTAATTCTGCAAAAGTTAAAATATTGCATCATATTAGCAAACTTATATTAAGTTTTATTCCAAGAGTATACTATACCATATTGTTACGTCTCTGGTCGTTTGTTAATTTCCAGTATAAATTCTTCCTGAGGAACTTCAGCGATACAAGTCCTTTCTTAAATAAAACTAGTTTATTCTTTCTCATTACAAATTTGCAATACACAGAATTTCCACAGTCACGTTTACTTAAACATACGCTATAATTCACAACGATTCACGCACTTTACTTACGGTCACTACCACTCGCTTGACTCAATTATCTGTCTCTATATCTCTATCTGCGCTTCTATCTCCGCTTTATTTGTCGGGTTTATATACAATAAAAGAGGGCGCCTAGAAAATAATAGAGTTGCCAGGAAAAGTCGAGAATCTCATGACGTCTTACTAGAGTCACGTGACTTCCGCTGTCGTAACCATATTTAAAAATAAAATATACTGAATTTCACATAATATTCGCACTATATTTGTTTACAATGCAGGCTTAACACTATTATTGCGCTACATTACAACTTTAAGTAATAAAGTAGGCCTAATCTCAAGAAAATACTACAGACTGTAGGTCTGCCCTGGTAGATAACTCGCGAGCTAGTTAGAGAGTCCCATTGTGGATAATAACGTTATCAAAATTAAAGAATAGGTTAAACATTCGTCAAGTTTTTTTAATATTTTTATTTGAAGAGGATGAAGGTTTGAGCTAGCGCTCTTCGTCAGATCGTACAGCTTACAACAAAAGGCGCATGCGCAGAATTTAAAAATTGCATCCCTAACATTGTGAACGTTGAGCGTGAAATTTCTCTGCAAAATTACATCTTATACATAAATATTACAAGTCAAGAAAACATAAAACAGATTGAAATAAGATTGAAACAAAATCTGGAAAAACTGAGAATCTATAGGTAAGAAAAGCGTTCATTTAAACCAAATAGTTCTACGGTTCCCAGATTGTAGATTAATCTCCTTTCATAAATTCATAATATTTAAAGGGACAAACAACAGTTTATTAACCTATCAAGGATGTCCCTTCCAGCTCCCAACTATATCCACCCCTTACTACTCATGTATTTATCCAATCTTTTTTTAAACTCAGTTAAAGTTACTGCCTCCACCACTTTTGAAGGCAGCTCATTCCAAAAGCCAACCACCCTGTTTGAAAAGTGATCCTGTCTAAACTGCAGACGATTCCTACGCTACCAAAATAGTATTTATAACCCCTTGTCCTGTTGTTTTTACTGTTAAACACAAAAAAGTTTGATAGATCTATACTATCAATACCCTTGATAATCTTAAACACCTTAATCAAATCCCCTCTCCAGAGAAAAAAAGTTTAGAGATTCTAGTCTCTCCTCATAGAACAATCCCACCATCCCAGGTATCATCCTAGTGGCTCTTTTCTGAACCTTCTCCAACAATTCAATATCCTTCTTGAGGAATGGAGCCCAAAACTGTACACAGTACTCTAAATGAGGCCTTACAGGTTATGTATACAGTAAAACAATAATATCCATTGTCTTGTATTCAATATTTCTATAGATGCTACCCAAAATCCTATTAGCCCTATTGCTAGCTACAATACACAGTTTAAATGACTTAAGTGCTTTTTCGATCACAACACCAAGATATTTTTCTTCGCCACAGTATTTAATGTATTCCCATTTAAATTGTAATAATAATTGGAATTGTGAAAACCTACATGCATCACCTTACATTGTGGATAGTTAAACATCATCTGCCCAATGAACTAAATCTTCTTGTAAGTCTGCAGCATCTTAATGTCATCTACAAACTTCAATATTTTGTTAGTCATTCCACAGGCAATATCATTAATATAAATCACAAACAGCAGAGAGCTCTGAGGCACATCACTTGTAACTGTGATCCAGTTGTTCTCTTTTATCGGAGCACTAATAAGTCCCAGAATCGAAAAGTCATCAACTATATGGCAAAATGGTACTCCAGGCACTCACAAATGTAAAAGAAACAGGTGTGTCACCTGTCCACATATATACGACACCACACATATACTGGTAAAAAATACAACTTTCAACATAAGACAATCCTTTATATGTACTACTGAATGCATCATTTACTGTATAATTTGTATAAAATGCAATAGTTTATATATTGGACAAACAGGCCGACGACTCGGCGATCGAGCACGAGAACATTTAAACCATATTAAACTGGGGAACCAAGATGCACCTATAGGTAAACATTTCACCATCAACAACCATACAGTTGGACTTATTAGTGCTCCGACAAAAGAGAACGACTGGAAAGGAGATTACAATCTGGGAACCCTACAACCATGTGGTTTAAATGAACGCTTTTCTTACCTATAGATCCTCAGTTTATACCAAATTTTGTTTAGATTTTATTTCAATCTGTTTTATGTTTTCTTGACTTGTAATATTTATGTATAAGGTGTAATTTTGTAGAGAAATTTCACGCTCAACGTTCAAAATGTTACGCACGCAATTTTACAATTTTGCGCATGCGCCGTTTGTTGTAAGCTGTACGATCTGACGAAGAATGCAAGCTCGAAACGTCAGCTTATTCAAATAAAAATATATAAAACTTGGAGATTGTTTAACCTATTCTTTAATTTTGATATCTTTATCGTCTATGTGATTAACTTTATATTTCTTTGGATAATAACGTTATGTAAATTAATACAATAAAAAAAAAACAAAATCGAAGCAAAGGAATTGTTGTGTAGTTGGATGAACAATTCGGTTTTAAAATGCCCTTTTTCAATTGCCAAATTATATTTTACACGGAGCCAGAAGAAAGAAGTATATAGAGTGAAGTAAACAAATATGGTAGAAGTAGACTAGCGCTAGGTGTTTTTGAGATAATAATACTTCTCGGTAAAGAATAAATATCACCTAAAACATTCCATAAGCCAATTATGGGTAGACCAAAAGTTTAGCAATCCAAAGTTGTGTTTTTTAATTATGCACAAAGCTACACAAGGGCTGTCTCTGCTTTGCCCACCACGGTATCAAAACCCGGTTTCTAGCGTTGTAAGTCCACAGACATACCAGTGCCACTGGGGGGCTCCAAAGTTGTGAAACCAATAACCGTTGCCAAGTATGTTTTGGAAACTTTCAAACTTGATATACTCTTGTCATTTATACTGTTTGCAATTTTACAATAGAATGAGAAGTACATTAAGTCAAAAGTATTTAGTTCCCAAAATATTTTACTTGGCGATTTTTGTTTTTGCTATTTATTATTGTTTTATGTTTAACGTGTAGTTTTACATTGTGTGTGTTTTCATGGCATTTCACTTATTATTTTTTCCTTCTATCTTGTATAATAATGTAGATGTGTTGAAGCGGTTCCTCTTTCGAATTCACTTCCTGGTTTAGTTACGTTATTTCCTGGTGATTTATATCGCTAGATTCGCGTTAGCCTAAAAAAATCCCAAATATGCAGTATTTATATCACATTATAAACGTTGCTAGTTCAGACATTAACCGAAAACTGTGCTCTGTCTTCATTTGTCACTTTCAGTATCCGTGCATTATAACACTTAGCCGTTGACTTCCATTTCAAGTGGCTTTAACTTCTCTTTGAGGCTTTTAATGACAACTTCTTGTTTAACCCGAATTTCTGACACGGCACTTAGATGATTACGCTCAAATAACTTCTTCCCCTTCTGTAACTAATATTGTCTTAACTAAGAGTAATCAATGTTTGAAAACCCGCAATATAATGTATAAAAGGTGATTTTTAAACAAGCAGATATCTAAGCCATTTTCACAAACTCGCAACACTGGCGGTAGGGGAGAAGAATGATGTCACCGTAGCTACTACGTTAGCCTACACCACGATATAATTAATAATTAGCTTAAACTCCTAAAGTATAGGCCTATAAATTCCAACTACTAAATAGGCTTATCTTCACACAGTCACTGTGCCATATTCAGGAAATGTAAAAGTAGGCATAAAGTTACAAAATCATTGCACAATATTGGTGAGGTTATAGTGGGCTTAACTTCGCGAAATCGCTAATCCACAGTTCTGAATTTAAAATATTCTTAAATCCACGAATTAGTTACACCATATTGTGGAATGAAAAGTAAGTTTAATATAAATGTGAAACCAATATTTGCATATTGAACATTTACTAAGTGTTAAGCCTACTTTGCACTCGTTATGCTGTAAAGTATTAACCCATAATTAATGCGTAATATTTCTACTGTTCATTGTTCAGAAGTAAGTTTGTTTGTTTGTTTGTAATTAAGCACAAAGCTACACAATGGGCTATCTGTGCTCTGCCCACCACGGGTATCTAAACCCGGATTGTAAGTCCGCAGACATATCGCTGTACCACTGGAGGGCCAGAAGAAAGTACTTGTAAAATGATATTATAAAATACTGAGATACAATATTTATGATTTTGTCATAATGACAATCACTGCTTAAATCAAGCATATATTTATTTGGCGAGAAAATATATTAAACTTGTTCAAAGCACAGGAATCCTAAAGGAGTGACTCGGGGTGGGGGCATATCCAAACGCTGATCTCCCTGGGTTCCCTAGAGGTGCCTAAAAAGTTTGATAGAGATCAATATAATAATATGGGTAGTTTAATAGGCCCTTGGGGGTGACATGGGAAGGTCAGGTTTCAACACCAACCCCACTATGCTATTTCCAAAAGGCGACTTTTGAATTTGCTAAAAATCGACAGAATAGCATTGGAAACACTCATAAAGACTCTTTGAAGGTGGCATAGGGTGGACAGGCCCGGGTTTGATTGAAATACATCAAACTATATGCATAATAGGCGTACACGCAGACACACAGTAGCCCTCCGGGAAGTACCCGTCTTATAACATTCGCCGGGGTCCCTAAGAATGTGTGCCAAGTTTGTTTGATGTCCGTCAAAAACGATAGGCATTAAAGGCGGATACATAGACAGGCAGTTACGTTATTATGGAGAAGATATAAACTACGTATCACGTAACTGTTCGCAGGCATTTTTAAATTTCCTCACGATGAAATCTTTTGGTAGAATGTTGCTGGAACGATTATGATGACTTTGATCGAATGATCGTAATGGCGATAGTGTTAAACAATTTTTATTTTAATCAGATGAACACATGCGAAATAAAAATATATATTCGTTCGGTTTTGATTTTTCTCTGTGTACAGTATATTTATAATTTTGATTGTGTCAAACATGAGAAAACTACCGAGCAAAAATATATATAGTCGACATATGTCTCACTAGTGATTCAACAAAACGTGACCTAGCATGTTACTATGACAACGAACTTATGAAGTATATACCTTCTGGCAGTTGTGCACTGTTGTAGATACTTTCACATTTAATTAAAGTTATCATGAAAGGTATATTTATAGTTTAACTTTCTACCACTAGATGGTTGTTCTTGTCAGACGAGTTCTTTCTGTCCGATCTCTCAAAATAACAAAATAAACGAATTGCAAATGAGCAAAATAACATTCAAAGCAATAGACTCTACTAGAAGAGCGTCCTATATATGGTATTCATTTATTTATGTAACTTTTTTACAGTAGCGTGGGTGTATTTCTTCTAAAATGTGCATGTGTCACGACTTTCATTTCGAAAGCTTCTTTTCAGGTTGTATTGACATTATTTTTTGCAAAGTTTGATCTTTATATGTGAAGTTGTTTATGTTTGTGATTCCTTTGTCTATTCAGTTGCACAATCTGGTAATTACTGGCTTTAAATAAATGAAAAACAAAGAGAAAAGAACAGTGCACGATGTTCATTAAGTTCTTTTCTCTTCTGAGTTTCATGAAGAAACTGGATTCACCTAGCTTCTTATCAGAGATATAGCCCTTATCTCTTAAAATTGTTTATGTTTTAACTTTTTTACACAATTTGTCGACATTATTAAATTCTGATAAGTGTAAAATTTCATTTTCTCCTGACAGGTGAGCCTGGATTCACGAGTTCGAGAAATTATCAACAACAAGATGGTGGAACCTACGTCTCACACCTTTGACGAAGCTCAACTTCAGATTTACACCCTCATGCACAGAGATTCCTACCCTCGCTTTGTCAACTCCCAAATGTACAGAAAACTTGCACAATTACCCGTACCTAATCGGAAAGGAAGCATTGCATAGAAATCGCGGTTATATTCAGAGGTTAAAGGAACGGTCCAGAACGTCGTTCTGCCTCTTGAGGGTTCAAGCCATTAGCGTTCCTGGTCTTCTGATTAGATTTTCATTTATTTTTTAGGATCTCTGTCTATACAAGCGTGTGTATGAGACAAGTGATTAAAGTGCACTCTGGTGTTCTCTCTTGGTCTGCTCGATCAAGATTAGTTTTGGCTTCAATTAATTAAGCGCATTTGTGATTCGTTTACTATGTTTTTTCTTCATTGAAAACTTGACCAACATTTTTCAGCTCAACTATCTTTAAGTAAGGATTGTTATTTTGTGACAAACAGTCTCTATGGATTCTATATATATATACAAATATGGACCAGTATGAGACTGTCCTAGTACCTGAAGACATATTTCTAAAAAAATTAAACACAATCTCAGACTGACGTCTCATCTAATCATTATACTAATGAAGCCAAAGTGCTGGATTATATTACAGTCGTAATCATTATTTTTAGTGTTCCTTTATATAATAATCTTTATGAAGAAATTGCTGTTTTATGTAAAATTACTGACTTTTTCCACTTAGATGCAGTTTTTATTTATTTATCACCAATATTGATTTCTATATCTTGTTGTAGATTAGATTGTAAAGTGTAAATCGTTTTTACGATTCTTGTTGCGACATTATTTAACGTAATAATGTAATATATACTATAACAGTTCCTCTTACCAATAATAATTACATCCACCACCCATC